GCAGGACTAGAAAAAAATAATTTACAGGTTTTGAAGACAAAATCTTTTCACCAAATATACCTGAGCTTGATTGGTGTGTGCAAATCTAAGCCAAAAAACATTCTATTCAAGATTAATCCTGGTAAGATACTAAAAAGATAAGTGCTACACGATAAAACATTTTTAGAAGTACACTTTTAACATTTTTGGAAAGATTTTTTCACTTACTATTTAAGTTTTTAAAAAAGTTATTTCTCTTTGGGAGTTGAGAGAATGCTCAATTCTGTAATGCATACCCCAAAAAACTATTAATTGATGGCAAGAAAAAATGGTTTGTATTTTAACAAAAATTCAACTCCTAAAGCATTTTCCTAATTATTTTTCATCGTATGTTTATTTAACTTTTATACATCAGAAAATGAAGGTTTCAGTTTTTGACAGGTGCCATTACACAGTGCTAATATGCTCAAGTTTTCAACAGAGAGAGGTAAAGCACAGGGGAAAAAAGTTAGATGGAGAACAGGGTGTTCTTTATTGGCTGTAAGTCACTACTGCCAAATGAATTTGCCAGTTAATACTGCCTGCTAGCTGGCTGTATCCATTGGTTCTTCCCATCCAATGAAGCCTGTGACAGCCTAAAAATATTGCAGGTTATACAGTAATTATTGGCCTCTTGATAAATTTTTCCTCATGGTATCATGTTCCCTGTTTGTTTGATGAACAACCACTTAACAGTAGATTTGACTAAGCCTGTCGCTGGAATTTAAAACCAGTCATGGAAAAATTACCTTTTTGCAGCATCTGCAGGTAGTACTAGTACAACACCACTTTGCTGTATAGTGGCGCATCTGACTTCTGTGTGTAGATAAAATAGAGGAGGGTAGTTGAGTACTCCTTAACGTACTGCTGCCCACTTGAAGATGTGTTGATTAATGGAAAAACAGAAAGACGCTATCCATTTTATTCACTGAAAGTATTGAGGGGAAGTAAAAACAGGAAGTCATTGGATGAACTGTAGAGTCGCCTACAGAACTGCTGTTCTTTCTACAAGTATCAGAGTGGTTGATAAGCTACTAGACATTTTTGGTACTGTCAGGTAGGTATTTCATATCCAGGGCAATCAAAATTTGATGAGAAACTACAGTTTTAATAAATCCCAGAATCTCTGATTATTATTTATATGAAATCCAGAATCTGTGTTTTTCTTCTTTCAAAAGTACTATTAAAATATATTTCTGTGGATCAACATCTTAATGTTTTGCTTTATATTTTGAGTCCATATGAAATACGGACTTTTAATACGTTTTCAAACAGCTCTTGATTGTATATGTATATATGGAATCTTAGAGTGGTTTGGGCTGGAAGGGACCTTACAGATCATCTAATTTCAGCCAATTAATTTCAGAATTGTTGCTCCGTGCCTGGAGCACCTCCTGCCCTCTTGCTGCACTGACCTTGGGGGCTGCAGGGGTGGTTCTCACTCCTCACTCACTCCACTCCATTCCCAGTCACTGTTGCACAGCACTTTTTTTTTTCCTCTTTCTTAAATCTGCTTTTACAGAGGCACTGGTAACATTGCTTATTGGCTTGGCTCTGGCCAGCAGTGGGTCCCTTTGGAGCCAGCGAAACAGGCCCTTATCTAACATGGAGCAGCTGCTGGGCTCTGCTCACAAAGGCCACCCCAGCAGCACCCTGCTATCCAAAACCTTGCCATGTAAACCCAATACGCAAAGATGTCTGTTGCAGTAAATACTTTCTTCAACCTTTGAGTCATTTCTGTGTTTATTCTCTTCCCCCTTCTATTCTTTCAACTATCTTAGAAAGTATTACGATCACAACTACATGCACTAAGAGTTTTATGTAGAGAGGTAAAATTACATCCCTACTCCCCACTTACAATTCTGGAATTTAAACACCCTAAAACCTTTGCTGTAGCAAAGCACAGAGTGAGACACTGCTGCCTCTCCACTAAAATGTCCCATTGTTTTCCAGGACCCATTCTGACCTATTATCTGTCTTGTTAAGTATGGCCTACAGTCATTTCTCATCATTTGCTGTGTATCAGTCTGGTTTTCAATGGGCTCAATGTTCTCCTTTGCAATCCAGAATACTCTGTTTGGTTGATCTGTTTTTTGCATTCTTTACCACTTCCAACCATTCACAAATGTTAACAGCACCAATTTCATTTTTACTTATTCCTGCTAATAGACTTAAAATGATGAAGAACAGAGCCAATGAAAATGAAACTAATTAAGAACTAGGACTGCTCTCTGGAGACCTTTCCTAAAAATGTCATCGTCAGTAATAACTTGCTGCTGATAAGTGCTTTTTGAGACAGTTCTTAATCCATTTAAAATGTATTTTATTGATACTGCATAATCCTAATACTTTTATCAACATGTTATTTATGGTAAATCAAATGATTTACAAAAATTCACTATGTACTTACTTTTATCAATTTTAATTGTAAGAAATAAAGCCTTTTTTCATAAAATGTTTACCACGGTTAATTATAGCAATAAATCTTCGGCTTTATTTTTTTCAATCTTTTTCATATTTCCGCTATTTTGCCAAGAACTGATGTTATCTATCATTTCTCCTGTTACCTCCTCTTCCCTTTTGACTTCTTGACCATTCATAACATAGTAATGTGTTTTTAATCTTCAGAATTATCCAGAACCAAGGAGTTATTCATACCTGACATTTGCAGAAGACAATCCTAAAAGTCCATGCTTTTAGGACTCTTGGGTGTGAGCTATCTAGGCTTGCTAGTGGAAATTTTCTTCTGCTAATATATGCCATTTAACATCCGTATTGACCACTAATGGCATGATTCATTTCACCTAAATTCATCTAAAATTAGTTGTCTAAGTTACAATTCCACAATAGAGAAATAAAAGTAAGAACTTCCAGAGAGTCAATTGATTCCATCTACCCAGATGTAACCTGGAGAGAATCAAATATATTTAAATATGTACCAGTAACATTCCTGTAAATACACAGATTTTAATAACACCGGGTGAACACACATTGAATAAATATATACCTATATGCTTGTACAATTCGGTGTAAAGGGAATTTTCAGGAACCCTGAAACAAGTATGCAGATGAGACCAAGCAAACCGAGCACAGTGGTGGCCTGCACTGCTACAAGTAACCCCAAGTAGAGCTACAGGCTGAGACACTGAGTGGTTGGAGAGCTGCCAGGCAGAGAAGGACCTGGGAGTGATGGTGGACAGTCGGCTGAATATGAGCCAGCAGTGTGCTCAGGTGGCCAAGAAGGCCAACGGCATCCTGGCTTGTATCAGAAACAGTGTGACCAGCAGGGCTAGGGAGGTGATCGTCCCCCTGTACTGGGCTCTGGTGAGGCCGCACCTCGAGTACTGTGTTCAGTTTTGGGCCCCTGGCTACAAGAAGGACATCGAGGGGCTTGAGCGGGTCCAGAGAAGGGCGACGAAGCTGGTGAGGGGCCTGGAGAACAAGTCCTACGAGGAGCGGCTGAGGGAGCTGGGCTTGTTCAGCCTGGAGAAGAGGAGGCTCAGGGGCGACCTTATTGCTCTCTACAGATACCTTAAAGGAGGCTGTAGTGAGGTGGGGGATGGCCTGTTCTCCCACGTGCCTGGTGACAGGACGAGGGGGAATGGGCTAAAGTTGCGCCAGGGGAGTTTTAGGTTAGATGTTAGGAAGAATTTCTTTACTGAAAGGGTTGTGAGGCACTGGAACAGGCTGCCCAGGGAGGTGGTGGAGTCACCATCCCTGGAAGTCTTTAAAAGACGTTTAGATGTAGAGCTTAGGGATATGGTTTAGTGGGGACTGTTAGTGTTAGGTTAGAGGTTGGACTCGATGATCTTGAGGTCTCTTCCAACCTAGAAATTCTGTGTGAAATGTAGATATTGTTTATTATCATTAAAAAGAAACATAATAGGCACATCTGGCCTGGTTCCCTACCTAAGGCCACATTGTAATTTGGATGCTATACATGGTGAAAATTATGGGTAGTATATCCAGTTAAGTTTTTCCTGGAAAAAAAAATGAGGGAACAGAAAAAGTTGTTCTTTGTCTCATACTGACTGCAAACCAGGTTCATATACCCAAACAAGCTATGCAGTGGGAGATTACTGAAAATGTAAGGATAGTAACCAGTTCAGTAATAGAAAGAGAGGAATAGAAGCAACAAATTGGAAGGAACACATTTGTTTTGCCATCTTTAAGCAGGGAATAATCATGGTTCAGTGGGGTACTAATCTGCAGACAGGATGATTTCCATGGGCAGTTAGGAAATACGAAGCAAGTTTTTGAATGTGCGGATATTAACATGAGGTAGAGAATGTAGTTAAGGGTACCAAAAAAGCATGAGCTATTTGGGCATTGGAGTGTTTGGGAAACAAGCTGAAAACAGTATGGAAGCCCAAGAGTAATTGGAAAATTTATAACCAGAAGCAGAACAATACAAATTGTGTGAATATGATGCAATCATGAAAGGATTAAGGATGGCAGCTATGTTATGGGATTTCCAGGAAAAGGACACTTGGTATGGAAAAGAGTGGACAATTCCCAGAAGAGGGAGTGACCTAAATCAAAAACTAAGTGACGCACAGGCTGTTGTTTGGATTATACTACAAAGTAAAAGGAGACATCAAAAAGATTTTAACCAAAAATCAACTCCAAAATAAATTATTAGCAGTAAAAGCAGACATGGCACAAATCATGGTTAAAGTGGAATTAGATGCCACTCTTTGGAGCAGTAGCAAAGGAATTGGAGACCTCAGTAGGAAAATTAGTGGGGAGCTGGGATTATTGACCATATGTCTTGCTTTTTACATTTGAGCTGAATTAGACCTTTGTTAATTTTAGTAGACTAGTCAGCCCACTAATTTTAACTTAAACACTTCAGGGTGTTCCCACAGGTATCTTGGTTGGAAATCACCTAAAAAAAAAAGAAGAGATCATTGTGATATAATTCCAGTGTTGTTGATGTGAATCTTCATTCCTCAAATTCTAAACCAAGCACCATATAGTTTGTTAGTTGGCTTGAAGTATTTGAGAATTTTCAGCAAAGATAAGCAAACATTGACTTTCATTTTGGGTTGATCTCAACTAAATATAGTGCTGGATTGGCTCTACTGACAAGGGTGCTAGATCCATCCCATTTATACAAAAAATGTGTTTCTTGTGTAAATTTCTGGAAAAAAAAAATAAATAAAAAATAAAAAATATCTCCTGTTTGCCCCTAGTGTTCCTGTTTGTGACTATTCTCTGCTTATTTATCCATTCACAATCACTCTCTAGGCGGTCACCTATACCTTGATTAATTCCAGCAAGATTACTCTGCAATTTTTCTAACCAGTGATCAGTTAAAAGTTCATGGTTTCCATTCAACTGGCTACTCTGCTTATAGCTAGCATTGTTGTGGGTTTTTCTGTTTGTTTGTTTTCAGTTCTCTTCAAGTCACAGTCTCAAAGAACATATACCTATGAGTATGCTAGACAGCCCCTCATCTCAGTTTTTATTGCCAGCTTTTGCACTAATTTTCAAGCAGCTCCCTTGGTCATTCTGCTGGTGCACCCTGCCTGTCCAGAACTTTGGGAATGTACATGTACTGCTATTTGGGATTTCTGCTTTATTCATAAGACTGTGCAAAACTCTTGCATGACTTGCTCTCAACACAGCTTCATTTGGAATTTTCCATTGATAAAATGCCGCATTATATAATTGCATTACAGTTAACTGTGTGGTGGCTCTTTTTATGGGAACAATTTCCATCCACTTTGTAAAAGCGTCATAATGACAGTGCTGGTTTCCCCAAGTGGTCATCCAAAGGGGTGCTGTGTAATCAGCCAGTATCCTGGCCCAAAAAATTCCTGCACTGCAGCTGGATTTGTCTTGGATGTATTAGAGCATTTACAATTGCTCACTCCAGCCAGCTGTGCACCTGCTGCTCTGTGTCAGCAATCATCACACAGTAGTGACTCACAGAATCACAGAATGTCTCAGGTTGGAAAGGACCTTAAACATCATCTGGTTCCATATCCTGCCATGGGCAGGGACACCTCTCACTAGATCAGGTTGCCCAGAGCCTCATCTAACCTGGCCTTGAACACCTGCAGGGATGGGGCATCCACAGCTTCTCTGGGCAACCTGTGTCAGGATCTCACCACCTTCTGAGTAAAGAATCTCCTCCTAGCCTCTAACCTAAATCTCCCCTCTCTTAGTTTAAAACCATTCCTCCTTGTTCTGTCATCTGATGGAGAAAAGAGTCACTCTCCATCTTTTTTTATAAGCCCCCTTTTCTACTGAAAAACCTCAATGAGGTCACCCTGGAGCCTTCTCTTCTCCAGGTTCAACTGCCCCAGCTCTCTCAGTCTTTCTTCACAGGTGAGGTGCTCCAGCCCTATGATCATCTCCATGTCCCTCCTCTGGACTCGCTCTAACAGCCCCACATCCTTCTGGTGCTGGGAGCCCCAGACCTGGATGCAGCACTCCAAGTGGAGCCTCACAAGGGCAGAGCAGATTGGGGCAATCACCTCCCTCTACCTGCTGTCCACTCCTCTGTTGATGTAACCCAGGATGCAGTTGGCTTTCGGGGCTGCAAGCACATACTGCTGGCTCATGTCAAGCTTTTTATCCACCAGAACCCCCAAGCCCTTCTCTGCAGGTCTGCTTTCAACGAGTTTTTCTCCCAGTCTGTACTTGTGTCCAGGATTGCCCTGACCCAGGTGCAGCGCCTTGCACTTGGACTTGTTGAACCTCATTAGGTTCATGTGGGGCCAATTCTCAAGCTTGTCCAGGTCCTTTTAGATGGCATCCCTTCCTTCTATTCTATAAACTGCATGACTCAGCTTGGTGCCATCTGCAATCTAATGTTTTGCTTTGCCAGGATAGGCTTATTAATGAACGGATCAAATCAAATTGTACCAGACCTACCCATGCTCACAGACCATCTTCATCTGCTCATATTATTTTCTTTTTATATATTTCCTTTTTATTTATATTGTGAAAATACCAACTATTTATTTAGAAGGGAATCTAAGTCCCCAGAAGCCTAACTTTCCAAAAGTTGGAAAACTATGGAGTTAAAATTTGGAGTAGGGAGTTACATATGGTTCACATTAACTCAAGTAACATTTCCATTAAATTTCCTAATTATTCAACTGGAATATATGCTGAGCAAAGCCTGTTTAAGCAATGGACTGAAAAATAATGGAAAGTGAAAGGGAGAGGTAACATTTTAAGTAATATATTAGGAAATTTAGGTGTAGTGAATAGAACACTGAGTACTATAGATCTTGAATTCTTTTCGGATAAATTATCAGTGATGGGCAATGATGTGATTATAGCCTTCCTATAGAGAAAGGAAAGATAAAAGATTTCAGGACATAGCCAAGGAGAATTATCACTCCATGAAGAAGCTGTGTTGTCATTAGTTTCAAATGCTATACAAATAGCAGACGTATCTGACTGCAATATTATTAGGTTCATGTGGCTTGCTGATATTAAAATACGTTATTGCAAGGATTAATAAAAACAAAGATGAAATAATTAAGTATGGAAAGATTCACCACCCTAAACTGTATATTAGAAGATAGTAAGCAATTAAGTGTAGCTTTATGACATTGTCGCCTGTGTGGAGCTGTGTCACAGATACGTGAGGACCACGCATAACATGATGACCCTCGGACTGGCAAAATCCGTACTAGGTGGAAACTAGGTGTTCCTCAAGAAGGAGCTGAATGGGTAATTTCAGAAAGGTACTACAGTGGCATTCTTGCTGTAGAGAAATGGAAGCAATCACTCACCACAACAAATTACTGAGATCTAGAAGTCAACTGGTATGGCCTGAGAAGAAGATACTGTTGCATCTTCAGAGTAAGACCACATTTTAAAGTCAAAACCCACAATTTACAAGGAGTTTTATGTTTCGAACTTACCGTATTTCAGGTGTGCTACCAAACACCATTCTCCAATCGCAATGACTGAAAATAACAAGTAAACCTTCCCAGTGGATGACAACTACTGCTGTAATAGGAACAGCGGGAGCTGAATGGAAGAAATCATGGAAGAAAGCTTTTCATTATGAATCTGTAGTAAACCAACCAAACCAAAAAGAAATTTGAATATAATCAGCAAGAGATTACAATATAAGCATTAGAGGTTAAAATCGCAGTTAGTAATTCTTGGTGGGACAGGGTATTCTGCAGCCCTACAGCATCTAATCTGTTATGTGTACTCTTTCATCCATTACTGAGCTAGCAGCAATGCAGGTTATGATTTTGTATACTATATATAATTTGTTACATTTGTTATCTCAAGGTTATTTTCAACAAGGCACTGAAAAATCGATACTTTATGAAGCAAATCCAGAACGTTTCCTCAAAAGAACGGTGATTATAAGCAGGCTGAGGAGTGAACAGTTTGATCAATGGCACTCTTAAGGTGATTGTGATTTGAATAGGTCACCATCAAGGAGAGAATTATTGTAGCCTGAAGAAAAGCAAATAAATCTGAGCACATCTCGCTAACATTGCTCTAAGTACACAGTATTAATAATACATGGATGATGAAGTATTACGTACATGTAAGCCTACACATATAATCTTGAAAACAGGGCTGTGCAAAGTGAATTTTCAGGAATCCTAAAACGAGAATGCATACACGACTGAGTCACTGCCCCTAGAATAAGAAAGTGACTGCAAAGTGCTGAGGTTATCAGGAACTCACATCTGGAAGACGGTCAGAATATGTCATCGTAAAGAATGACAGGTTCTGCCTGGATAAACAGTGGTTATACTGTCAGACACTATTATCTTGATGGCTGCTAAAAGAATCCAACAGGCACCTTATGCGCTAGGCCCAATCAGTCATTGTATGGGGTGGGAGGACATGGGAGAGGATAGTCACAAAATTTTGGCACAGACAGAACCTCTTGAAGCTGCCCCTAACTGCCACAAGTGCAGGTATTGTTTTACTGCCATCAAAGAGCAACACAATGTGCACAACTGGCCTGGTTCCTCACCCACAGTGCCCGGTGGGAATGTGGATGCTACGGTCCTAGATACAGACTGTGGATTAATTTCCCCTCCCTAAGCACGTGCTATTGAGTGGTGAGAAGGTGCAGCTGGCTAGCATGACAAGCTGCAATTCTTGGAATTCCCTTCATTCTAACAGACTGGAAAATACTTTTTCAATCTTCATGTGTTATGACCAGATTCCTCAGATTCTATCCAAATGGAAGAAAAAAAAAATACATCTATTGAATATACAGTATTTCTTTTTGCTCTTCAGCAATGTCCACCTCCCTGTGGCAATAGATGCCAATTACATTTTATATTCTCTATACCTTTTTGTCTTCAGACCTTCCAATCACATCTGTTCTGATGCGTTTCTCCCTCCTTATTTTTCCTTACTTGTAATTCCCTTTTCCTTAATTTGCAATTCATACATAGTAATAGACATTTAAGCATTTTCTTTCTTTAATTTCTTTCTCTCTCTCTTTTTTTTTTTTTTCCCTGTAATTTCTTTCTTCACTTACCACTGAACAAAATTAAAGTGTCAAACACACTTACTCAACTTTTTTTTTAGACTGTGGAGTCAATCTGTTAATGGGTTTGTTTCACAAATGTATGTTTTTGTGGTTTTTTGTTTGTTGGTTTTGTTTTGTTTTGTTTTTTCCTTAACACAGCATATCCCATACACTTTCTCATCTTTGGAAATAAATTTTCTATTTGAAGAATATATTTTTTTAAAAGAAAATATAATGCTGAATGTGTCTGTCCATAGTTTGTTCATGATAGATGTTGTAACAGCACTGGTCCCAAGGTAACCATCAACTCCAATTCCAGAGATAGTTCACTCACTTTTAATTGCCCCATTGGAGTTCAAAATAGACGTGTGATTAAGGAATTAAGCAGCTCATCCAGACTTTACTGGATCAGACACTGGATTTGACCTACATCACAGTTCAAACAACAGGTCGGGGACCAGCTTGCTCTCTCATCTTGGTCAAGTGAAGCTTTCTCAGAGAAGTTGTCTGAAATACATCATGATGTATCTATGATTCTATGATCACTGTGAGAGATTGCTGAACTGCTGGAAATCCCATTCAGAGAAACGATGGCCTTTCCTGGAGAAGAAAGAGGTGCCTCGACTAATACTGGGGTAAGTGAAACAATGCTGCACAGTTCTGAGTGGCCTTGCACTTTTAGGTCTGAAGTTAATAGGCAAGAAAAGAAAAGCTTTTTGAGGCATATCATTCAGTTTGAAGTTGTTCTTTTGAGTAAGTAGCTCAGAGAGATCAAAGGCCTACTAATATAAATCCTAAAAGGCAGGACAGAAGTGCAGCAAGTCAGATATACTCAAGTGAGACATAAATGACTAGCTAAATTATTTAACAGTATGAGTAATGTTTTCTCTTTGTGCTGCCACTTTTTATGGCATCTAAATCAATTTATTTCCCTAAATAGATCCTGGTGCTTTGCTGCAGTAACTGGAAATCACTTTCACCTCTTCAACTCCATCACTAAAAAATGAAATTAGATTTATCACTTCACTGTAAGTTTTTCCAAATTATGTAATTAAGGAGGAATAATTCATTCAAAACTATGAAAGGGCCAAAGCTATTTTCTTGTCTCAGAGGAATTACAGAATTACCTAGGACTCTGTAACTTTGAAATGGCTGAGGTTATTCCTTTTTTTCTATAGTCTTAAGTATGGCTTTCATTATTCACAGAATAATGAAATAAATAATGATATAGTGAGCCAGCTGTAACTTTCCTTACTGAGATTTAGTATCCATATTGACTATGCTTTCCCAGTACACCTGGGAATGTGGTTGTTTGCATGACAAAGATATAAAACCTCTTGTTTTATACCACTTTATTCCTCTTCCTGCAGAGGTCTCTAGGACTTATCCACATCAGTATCAATGAGGGCTTTGGCAGAACTGCTGTCGTGAAACCTGTCAAAGAAGTTCACTAGAATCTCTGTCTCAGAACCAGCTCTTCTGCCAGAGGCTGTTTTCCTTGGAGAAGAGCTGGCAGGGTGAGAATGTGCACATACTTCAACTCCTCCAGAGCAAATGCTTAAACTGTCAAGATGGGCTTGAGCTATAACACCAAACTGCAAGGCGGAGGAACTAAAGAGCATTTATTTCTGCCAGATTTGCAGCAGGGTGGCAAACTTTTGCAGGCTGAGAAAGCCAGCCAATATATACTGTCATCAATACATCCCTCAGCCAGATGTTGCCCACGTTCTTCTCAAGGTTGTTCATCATAGCATTGCAGTTAAAGAAGAACTGCTTGTGTGAGTACATAAGTTCCCTTAAGTGCGTGGAAGAGCATGCCAAACTACAGGGTCCAGAGGCAATTTGCGTTTGGTGAGAAAAGGCACAGCTAAGAGATGCTGCTGGAAGCTTTCAGAGGGCATGGGAAGGCCCTGAGCAGTGCTGACTCAGGGCCACTCTGGTTCCAGCACAAGGCTCCCTGTGCCTGCGCACACAACTTTGAAGAGCAGCTATACAGCATGTGTACAACAGCCAATAGCCATGTATCAATTTTCAAGGCTGCCAGACATCCGGAAGGGCAGCTGATGTGAAAAGCTGACATGAAAAGCTAGCCTTTTTTTGGGGACATAGTATAGTCTCTGAAAGGATACTCAAGTCCCTTCAGGGGCTTGGGCCCAGGGACTCACCAAGAAAGCAATGAAAATCACTCTCCTAGTATCTCAAGAGTGAACAGATGAATAATCTGATCCACAGGCATGGATTCATATGTAGCTGGGACAGAAAAGATAGAGAAACCTCTTTTTATGACAGCCCTCCTGTTACTGGTATCTTATTACAACTGATGGCAATTAATCAAGTGTTGAAAACTCCAGAATTACTTGTATGTGAAAGAGAAACACCAGTGCTGCCTTATGATAGATGCTGTGGTGATATGCAGAATACAGCTTGGGCATGAACAGTACTTTTGGCATGGATTGCAGGTGTCTGTAAATATGAGATGACATTTACTCCACAATCATACTTCAAATACACATCCCCCACATCATCCCAAAAACAAAACAGGGTTAGAGTGGTCCTATTATTACACATGTAATTCAGTTACTTTAATCAGTATGTGTCCTCATCAACAGAGAGAAACCAACATGACATTAGCATTGCACATAATTTTTTCTTAGATCAATTGATACACTTTTAGTTTATGTTTGTTTAAACACCTTAATATTCTGGTATATACAGAGCAGTATTTTCCAATTGGCAAGAATATTTTAGACACACTATGTGTAAATACACAATTTTCATTTGAAGAATAATGAAACACTCTAAGAGAGGGTAATAAAATACCATAAGTTTTCAAAGAATCGAATAATGTACATGTCAGCAAAGTAATTCCAAAATATGTGACTCATCAGGTTTTAACTAGTTCCCAGAACCCCCCAAAAAAAAAAAAAAAAAAAAAAAAAGGAAATGCAGAGGACAGCTTGAAAATCAGCTGAATTCATTTTAGAACAGGACCTCATGCAAGACTGCACTCAGATTGTATTAATGCTACTGGCATTTGACAGAAGATTACAGCGATGGCTTGTTCACATGGAAAATGATGGCAATAAAAGGTAAACTGTGATTCTGAAGTGCTTCAGTGGGCATTAATTCAAATTCATATGTGGACCACTTTTATCTCATTATAAGAGGGCTTTTTTCAGTTTTGGCATTAATTCCTTTGGAACTAATTTCAACTAGACCAGAAAAAGCCTCTCTCATACTGGAATATGCATCTCTGCAGACAGCTATATTAGTAATGGCTGTTGTTAGCTTCATTATGCCTCCATAAATACCTGAGAAAACGTTTAGAGTGGAAAGGCAGTTGTGGTTGTTGTTATTAACTTTATTTTTGTGGTTTAATTGTGACTTCAGAATGAGTACATTAGGTGACATCCATCTACCTTTGCAATCAACTGGTC